GCACTAACAATATGCACCAGGACACTAAACTAAACTTTGCAAGAAGAACTGCAAACAGCAACAGGAGAAACTCCACTATAGTTAAGAAGACAAGAATGTATACTAAGACATGCTGCATGCATTTCAATACATACAATGAAACATCCCACAAGGAGAATCACACAAAAATGCAACATACCAATCAATCATAAATTAGTACCACATGCACCAGGTGGAAAGAAAATCCACAAACTAAGTATCTCTCTTAAGATACAATTCAAGCCAAACAAAAGCAGTTACACTAATTTGACACCCTGGATGGTTGCAAATCCCAGGTTTAACACAACAGCCTTAATGTTTGGCTCCAAAGAGGAACAAAAACACAAAACAAGAAACAAAATATTGGCCAGAATAGAAGCAAAATAAGCAGGCTTTACAAAACAAAGTACATGAAACTTTCTTGTGAATGAAAAAGCAAATTACATTGAGCAACATATATACATGCATTAGTTGATTAAAAGCTTGAACTTTTGAATTAAACTTTATTTTGTTACATAGGTATATTACACAGTTACTGCAATTAACTGTAAACTTTTATGTGCATTTCTGGATTTATAATTTTGGATTCTTTGTAACAGTGAACATTATCTGATTCATGTTTTGATTATCTTCAGACCATTGAATCTTTTATTCATTTATTAATTTTAACTTGTGAAAGCAAATGTATTCTGTGTTTAGAAACCATTATTCCCACTTTTAAATTAGTATTTTGCATCAATAATATATAACCTTGTGGTAGAAAGTTTAGGTTTGTAGTGAGATTATGTGTATAATATGACTTATTTTGTAAATAAATTTCTTAACAAAATTTGGGTATCAAATTTTAGAACCTCAGTGAAGGGGGAAATGTAGTAGGAACATTTGATATGATTCAACTGTTTACAGTCATAATGGAAAGAATCCACTTTGTAAAAAATGTTTGGCTTCTGCAGTCTAAAAACAATACAATTAATCATTTGATTTAACAGGTCTAGCTCATTGGTCGATGTAGTATGTGAGAGAAACAGGTATTTGTGTTTATGCAAATTAATTAAATGATTATTTACAAGACTTTAATTAGTTTTAGATTTTGAATATATTGATGATATTAAAGACAAGATAGTAGATTAAGTCACTCTTATTAGCAAGAGTAACTCACATATAGACTTAAAAGAAACATATATTTTATACTTGAACTCAGACAATCTTTGTCAACCCTCACACATAAACTACATTTATATAATATTTATATTTTGAGGGAGAGGTTGAAAGTGAGTGTGAGTCTGATTAGATACATTGCAATCATTTATGTTTTCAAATTAACTTCTGGAAAACTCATTTGTGTAATATCAAATTTTAGTTTAATGTAGGAAACAAAGATTCTGTGTACCAGAAACAATCAAGCTAGTTATAGAAATATTATATCAGGTTGTTCCCTGTGAAGTTTGCCCACAGCCAAAATGTTTCCACCATCAGTAGCAACACACCAGCACAAAGAGATAAAACCCACCAGAACCTAACCCAAAAACAAAACCAAAAGACAAACACAACTCAAAACTGATTATTTCACAATGGAACTGCAGAAGCCTCTACTCCAATCACAAAAAACCTTTAGCAACAGTACACCCAAGACAAAACAGATATAATATGCATTCAAGAAGCAATGCTATCAGTTATGCACCAAACCAATCAAAATCCACAACAATAATACCACCTACATCAGCAGGAGGCCTAGCCATCTATGCACATAACTCCTTACCAGATACATCAGAATTAGACATCCAACTCAACTCAACAGACAGAGCATTTGGCCAGGGTGCTGAGTTGGTGGTGCCCAGTGTGTTGTTCCTGGGGTCCTTCTGTGGTGTTTGTGCTGCTGCCTTCTGTGTTCCTGGGGTCCTTCTGTATTGTTTGTGCTGCTGCCTTCTGTGTTCCTCTCCACTTTGCCTTGTCCACAGAAATGAACTGTTTGCTGTACAGCCCAGCCAGGGGCAGAGAGCCCAGCCCAGGGTAATAATCAGTCATGAAGCATACAGTGCACAGGCGACTATAATCCTTCAGTCAGTCAGTCAGGTTGGGGGGAGCAATTGCTTCAGTTTAAAAAACAAAACAAAAAGGGGCACAATGCTATTTCTAAATCCTTTCAAAACATAAGACGACACATACAAGGAAGGCAGTAGTACTGCCTCCATCATTTGAGAATCACAACACTTGTGACTAAATAAGTTGCAAAAATCATCAGGATGCCAGCATCTTTGGAAACTATGATAGGAGCAACCAGCCATTCTATCAGATGATGCCTCAATTACTTAAGAGCAATTGAAGAGAGAGGAGGACAAGAACAACAACTTCCAAAATTTCCTGAATATATTGGGTTCTTCGTTTTGACACTAAAGACCTCTTTTGACAACAGCTCTATTATGGCTGATTTGATCCTTTGTATACCGCCATCAAAATTAATGTCTTTGAGTTACCATGATTAAAAAAGGCATGAGTTACCTAAACTCAGCTGATTGGTATCATTTTGGAAAACTAAAGTACTCCATGCACATAAAATTCCAACTAATGAATGTGACAGTAATGAAATTTTTTCAACTTGTTGAATTTGGATAATTACACAGATGGCTTAAACACTGTTGGGATTTATCTAAATTGTCCATTAGAATAACTGGACTTGATTTGATTAAGTATGTCTTGGCATTTCAAGTTTCCTGTTGACATCTTGCCTCCTCTGGGTCCCATCCCTTCCTTTCTCGCTCAGACATATTTGAAACTAAAAGGTGTAACATTCGCACATAAAAGCGGAACTGTAGTGGCTCCATTACTACAGCCCTAACTAATTAAAAATCTTAACAATCAAGACTAAATTGGTCACAAAAGCACCCCGTTTGCATAAGGGACTTTATTTCTTATTGATTGATTGGATTGGGAGGAGCTTTTGAATATGAATTTGGTGCACTGAAAAGAAACCATTAAAGAAATATATAGCCGAGACATATTTTTGTTTGTTTTCTCTACCAGCTAATTCCCCAATGTGGCCACTGCCTACAGTACGCAGCTACAACATTGATAATGTTGATCAAATTTGGAAGTATTCATACTTACATATGGACACCACATGAGAACAGAAGGACCAGGGCAATAACATACAAACACCTCATCTTCTTTATTCTGAGATAATTCTTCAGCGATATACTAATTCTTCACTGCTTCCTTAACTGGTTGGCACAATCAATATCTTGTCTACTTTGTTGTTTTTATCAGCCTCTGATTTCCTCCCCTATTCAAAGGTTCCTGTCCCATATAAATGACAGAATATAAATAAAGGAATAATCTGAGCATTATCACAGAATATACATGATAAAGAACCACTTGAGTTCCTTCACCCTGTGAGGGCCTAATCAACTTTTTGTCTTTGAATAACAGTATTTGTTATTCATAGTAGATAGTTGTATTTTCATTTTAGCACAACATAAGACTTATTATGATACCATGAGTATGTTGGGTATTTTGAAGACAGTACCTTCAATAATAACTTTAGAACAATATGTATAATTAATCAAATATTACTACTACTAATAAAGACTTTCTTTAATGAAGGTAACACAATTAGTTACTAAACAAAACTAATCTACCTTGAGGCCATCATATATATATATATATATATATATATATATATATATATATATATATATATATATATATATATATATATATATATATACATATATACACACAAACACAGAATGCAATCAATCACTATCCATCTCCCACATACATTCACATCCATTAGTACAGAGATATTACAGAGCCAGACTAGTTTCATGTAACTATACATATAAATTGTAAACACATTAACAGATGAAGTTACAAACAGTGCTCACAAGTTAAATTCTTGCATAACATATTGATATTTATAAATAGTTAAATTCTTGCATAATACACAGACATATATACAAAGTTAAATTCTTGCATAAGACACATTGACCTATACATGTATACAAAAAGCAGGAGGTGGATTAAATAAGGTTTAGATTTCACCCATTTAATATAGCCATGGTGAAAAGCTGACATACTAGAATATTCTTTAATTTTATCTGGAATACTATTCCATCTGGAATACTGTTCCATATAATATTCCTGGTTATTGAAAACTTTTTTAAATAATTCTTTCTTTGGTTTTGGAATTATGAAGTTTTTGGCTGTCACTGATCTAAGATTTGGGGTGATGCTGGTTTCTCTGCATTGAAAAGTATTTCTTATGTAAACATTGACTGACATAACAGAAACTTTATACTTCATTTTGGCTTATTGTAGGTGAAGTCATTTTTGAAATGGAAGGATGTTTAAATTGTCTCAGTAATGCTTCCACATTGCCTGTCTAGTATAACTGAACAGAGTCATCTTTGCAGCTGAAAAATATTCTTAAGGTCACAGGTATTACCATATTTGATGATACAACAGTAAAAATGGGGCAAAATGTAGTTTTTGTAAAAAGTTGCACAGTTCTGTTTTGGATGAAATGCTTTATTTTTCTTAACAGCCAAAGACAAAAATTTGTTTGCTTTATAATTAGACTTGTATGGTCAGTCCAAAGTTAATTATTGTCCATGAGTATACCAAGGATTCTGTTCAAGGAAACCATACCTGTCAACTATTCAAATGTCATGTAGAGAGGCTGAATAAACAAATATGGAGATTGGGATCTAAAACAGTAAGGTTTGTTTTTCAATCCAAGTGATGTAATGTGATTATGATTTTCAACATAGCTTTAACTTTCTCAGTCATATCGCTATGATGTCTGCAGTGTGTCAGTTTATAGTGATGTCTAGCAATGGAGCATAATGCCACAGACATGTGGCATGATGTTCCACCCAGTCACATTATCTTGACACCAGGCCGACCATTCCTAACACTAACCTCTTAATGCTGAGTGCTATTAGCGAGGCAGCTGTTAGTACAATTTTTTAAAGTCTTTGGTATGACTAGACCGGGGTTCAAACCCATGATCTTCCACATCTGGAGAAGACGCTCTAACCACTAGGCCACCTGAATGGTCATCACTGTAAAAGTCCATATCGATAGATAATTATTACCTAGAAGTTTCTTGGTGACAGTTAAGGTGCTGAGCATTCAATGATCAGGACTGAATAAACTTTGAATAACGAAAATTTGTGTTATATTTTAAAAGAAAAAGTTATATTTAATTTAAAATGGGTAAAGGTGTATACATGACCCATTTGACATGTAAATACATAGTTCTTGTAACTTTTTCAATAACATGCTTGTCCCATAAGTATGGTAAGCAAGCATGATACTAAAATGTTTTGCTGTTGTTTAGTTGTTTTATATGCACTGGGGGGGGGCATGTGCTCGAAAGGGGAGGGGGTTATAAGATTTCTTCACCTTTAATAAATGTAAAATAAAAAAAATTAGCATCTTTTTATTTGTTTCATGCCAGCTCTGAAGGATATATTTATCAAGAAACCTGTGAAAACAAGAAATAATTTTATCTGTACCATATCCAAGGTACAGTAGACCAACAAGAATGACTCTGCTTTTTTTTTTTAATTTGGCAGCAGCAGATACAGATTGTGTGATTTCGTGTTTCCACAGATTTCATCGTACTTTATTGATAATACGTCAGACTCATGTGCGTTTATTTTATAAATACATTGTGAACTGGTGTAAAAACTGTTTAAAACAAAAATGTGAAGCCGAAAAATATCGTGAGCAAATATATTTACCTTTCCTTAAGAAATAACTTGTCAGCTGTCACTAGTCTTACATGTAAGACCTGGACACTAATTTAGTCACAAATATTTTGCGTTTTGTACGTCCAGGACGTAGCACTAATACTAAGCCGTCATATGATACACTTAATCTTACATGTACATGAGTATTGTACATGCCCAACTTCTTAAGTTCCGGTATTTCTTTTATATATATATATATCTCTAAAACTCGATCACGCCTATTCTGGTTTCCTGACCTATCCAATCCGTTACTCTTTGTTATGAGTGTCAGGTAACGGCCTCCGCCATGTTGAAATCGCGCAATGTATCTGGAAGCTAAGCACGTGTTCTAATCAGGTTGGCCCACAACTTGAAATATTCTCGCATATAAGTGGAAACGATGCACTACGACGAGTTCTACTTGATAGTATTATTTAACATCTGTGTTAAGTTGTCGTAGAACTTTGTGTACACCACAGAAGGACCCCAGGAACAACACACTGTGGGGTGGGGTGTAAATACCATCTTACTCGACTCAGTATATAACTAGGCGTGGTTTAGTCTTTTTATACTGATTTTTTTGTTTGTTTGTTTTTGTTTTTGCAGCCATAAAGTTCGATATTATGAAATAGGTCCAGGTCTTAAGACATCTGTGATTCTTAAATTATTACCAAGGTTTTGATAAGCAACATTAACACGTCCTGGACAACATTAATATTTACAGCATATACCTGCAAGCTGCATGTCCTGGATTTTACCACAGGAGTTTGCAGTTATATCAATAAAACGCGACGAAATTTCTGATATGAAATCACCTTAACGGTATTATAAATTTATATTACCGTTAAGGTGATTTCATGTGGTCAGAAATTTCGTCGTGCTTTATTGCTAAAACTACAGACTCCTGTGATTTCACCCTCTGCCACATGTCCTATAATGTAAGACATGTTGTTTTTGTTTAGGTGCTCATCACCCATCCTGAAGAAAATTATTGTGGTGATGGGGCTTACGTTGTAGGACTACCTTCAGTCTAAGCCGTATCTGGTCATTCTGTACCCAAGTTGTTTAGTAACCAAGTCGTTTTATACCCAAAAGAGTAGTTTCGTACCCAGAGCAATGGTCTGAGGTGCTGGTCATTTCTTACCCAATGCTATAGTCATTTAGTACCTAAAGTACAAATATAACCATCAGTATCATATTAAAAAAAATGTTTCATGCATATTTCAAACCGTTTTAAGCTGTCCAATGTTGCTTTTTTTTGTGACAGATAGATGCATACAAAATTACAAAGGTAATTACACAAACAATGCTAAATGAATGTGCATGTTAGTGAAGTAACGGCTATATATATATATATATATATATATATATATATATATATATATATATATATATATATATATATATATATATAAATGGATGGTAATAATAATTATAATAACAATAGGAACATAAGGGATAATATTATATGAATTCTACATGAACTTGTATACTTTAATGGGAAGCATAATTGAAATATTAATTTACTAAATGTTAAAATCCACGTATATCTAGTAAGTTGAAGCTTTCTTGCTTAGTTCAGTTTCATGAGTGTTTGATTATTTATTTGCTTTTATTTTACTTTGAAATAATTACACAAGGTCTCTATTATTCAGCAGTCTTTTGATTCTGAGAAATAATAAATTCTGTGTCCAGAATTATTTGATATTAATGCTATATTTACCTCATTTGTTTACTGGAAACTGAATTTATCTTCAGAAGGCAAACTCTGACTTACATACAATGAAATAAAATTTATCAATAAACCAAAAAGAATCAGTTTTAAAATTCATTCAATAGTTCTCATGGATACCAATTTTCCCTGCTCTTACTCTCCTTAGTTAAAATTGACAAATGTTCCACTCTTACTTTTATGTCATCATAACATTACATTTGATCTCTATCTCAGTTTATTTAATGTTCTTCTTCCTATTTAGATCAGTAAAAGAAGCTTCTGTGCAAACAACATGAGACAAAAATTGAAATTTTGAAATTAACACCAGTATTGGTCCTTGGGGAAGAAAAACTTTATCAAGCAACACTTTTATCTGCATTCAGACCCATTATTAAAAGATCGCAGAATTTTTAGTCGCTTTGAGAGGATAAACATTTGAAAATGTTTCAGTCATGTTAGTCATTACTAAATAATACCAAGCAATATGACAATGTTTGTTAATTTTAATGATAGAGAAAAGAATGGACTTATTAAGTTAATTAAACCAGCCCAACATTTTTATTTTTACTGGCAATGTGAATTTTTATTCATTTTTTTTAGTACATAGATGATATTATACAATGAAAACAATACATTTACTGTAATTATTTGTGTTTGGTAAATATATTGCCTGGATATGCTTTGCTCTCACAATTTTTAAGGTAGGATAAAGATTAGGCCTAGAGAAGAAGTGGTAAATGTGACAATACTTTATATTTGATCTTGCTAATTAAAGGGTACGAAACTACCACAACCTTGGGTACAAAACAACTAACACCTTGTGTGTTATGACCTATTTCTACTGGGAATGAAATGACTTTGGTACAGAATAAGACATCTAAGCCACCCACCTGCACTCACACACTTTCCTAGCAAAAATTTCATTCAAAGATGGGTGGAATTGTGACATGTCAGCCGTTGCATGTTCATTCTGCATACTGGATCTCCCCTCCACATTTTCCTCCAAAATGTATGGGTATCTATACTGTATAAAATGTATGGGTATCTATACTGTGTAAAATGTATGGGTATCTATACTGTATAAAATGTATGGGTATCTATACTGTATAAAATGTATGGGTATCTATACTGTATAAAATGTATGGGTATCTATACTCTATAAAATGTATGGGTATCTATGCTCTATAAAATGTATGGGTATCTATACTGTATAAAATGTATCGGTATCTATACTGTGTAAAATGTATGGGTATCTATACTGTTTAAAATGTATGGGTATCTATACTGTATAAAATGTATGGAAATCTATTTATGTAGAAGAGGCTATATAAAGGTACTGTATTCTTTTGTTCATTTTACACATTAAAAATCATTAGCTTTTATTTTATTACATATAGGTTTTTAGCACCCTTGACAGTTACAGATCATTTGTTATTATCAGAAATCAGAAATGAAGGTAAAATTATCCCCAAAAGTCTCTGAAACATGTATTGATGAAACAGATTACCAATTTTCCATGTGTTCAATAAACATGAAGGAATTGTGCACATTTTGTCTTTCATTTATTATTGGATTAGATATAGTCTTGAGCTTACTTTTAAACCAAATGTGATAATATAGCTTGAATCTTCCAGCACTTGATCTTATTTCTAAGTCCTTTGAAGATGAAAGTTAATATACCTAAATTTAAAATTATTTGGATATATATTGGCAAGAGAAGTTTATGATGAAAATCTGAAGGGTCAACAGTGAAACCATTTAATAACACTATTCATAATAATTCATGTTTTGGATATAACATGCTAGGGTCATAGCTTTGAAATGTAACATTTACTATAATTAGCTAGAGAACATTCTTCTACAAGATTTCAACCAATGTTATAAAGTTGTTCCCCAGTATTATCTACCTGGCCCCATTTTCATTAAAGTAAACACTCAGCTCAAATTTTGCTTCCTGACCAGTTTTATTGAATGTGAAATTTATTGCTGAAATTCCAAGATGGAAGGCAATACTGCCTTTGATGGTCTGCTTTGTCCTAATGTGTCAATAGTTCTTTGTTGGATCACAAAGAAATAATTTTCCAGTTTTGAATTCCTGAATAAATTTTGATAAATGCCATTGTCTAAGAGTTCTGATGAGCACTAGTATTTTCCAGGGAACATAAATTACTAATTTTTAAAAATAGAAAAATTCAACTCAGACTGGTTACAACAAAACACCTTTTAGCCTCAAAAGCTTTTTAAAACACAACTAGTTAGATTCTTTTCATAATATGAGTATTAATCCAATCTGAAATGCAAAACATATTCCTGGATGGGGCCACATGATCACCTCTTTACCGAACAACATAGGAATATTATATGCCTAAAATCACACACTAGAGCATATCCTTAACTAAAATCAATCATTTTTTTTTTAACTCTGGGGAAAATATAAATAGAAAATGTTTACATAGATCTCCCTTACTGGTCCTGAGTTAAGGTTAGCAAAAAGTATAATGTTTCAACTACTGTTTATCAGGTCAAAACAGAACTGAATGTAATAATCAAGTGAACAAAGTTATCATTACAGTAACATGCACTGGAATTAAAAAATATTTAAAACTAACA